CTCTTACTATAAACAGGGTCTCTGTTGCCCAGACTGGAGTACAGTAGGGTGATCATAGCTCAAATGTAATGTTACCCCAAATTCCTGGGCTCCACCCTACCCTGTCTATAGCCCCCAACTACCCACCCAGTAACTTTGGCTAGAGGTACACCCCACCTTGTTTTGTTTTGTTTTGCTATGTTTTCCTAGCTCTCAAGTGATCCACCCTTGCCTTAGCCTCCCTAAGGGATTACAGGCATGAGCCACAGCACTCAGCACTCAAACCAGACAATCTTAAACTGTTTCCTTGCCCAGCTTTGTCTTTCTCACGGCAACTCCAATAAAAGCTCTCACTTGCCTTTCCCTTGCTCCTGCTTGCTGCCTTCTTGACCAATGAGGCCTTCCTGTTTCTAGGGCCTGTGAGTGTAATAAACTATTTTGTTTTCCCAACCCTCTCCTATGACTATTCCTGGGACCATATTTGACTAACCATTACATAAAACAATAAACCAGCTCAGCACCTGCAGCTCAGTGGTCAGGGCACTGGCTACATACACCAGGGCTGGTGGGTTTAAACCCTGGCCTGAGCCTGGTAAACGACAACTACAACAAAAAATAGCTGGGCATTGTGGCAGGCACTGGTAGCTACTTTAGAGGCTAAGGCAAGAGAATCACTTAAACTCCAGAGTTTCAAGTTGCAGTGAGCTGTGATGCCTGCCATAGCACTCTACTGAGGGTGACATACTAAGACTCTGTCTCAAAAAATAAAATAAAATAATAAACCAGACAACTTAAACTTTATCTTAAAACTAAAAACAGTGTAACCTAAACATTTGTACCCTAATATTGATTTGAAATTTATATATATATTTCTAAACAAAAAGTATATATTAACAGGGGTGGGGGGAGCACGAGCAAGATGGCGGCCGAGTAACAGCTTCCTTACAACTGGGCACCGTGAGACTGGGGAGAGAAGACTCCAGGCATCTCTGGCTAGTGGGAATCTGCCCAGAAACATCCCTTTGGGGACACAGGGAGTCAGCAAGAGACTTCTGGACCCCATGAGGAGGACAAAAGCAGTGGGGAACTGGCAAGTATCCTGCAGGCAGCTGTAAGTATAGCCGCAATGAGACTGCAAACTGGAAAGGCCTTACCTATGAGCTGTTTTTTTTTTTTTTTCCCGGACTTGGAACTCAGTTGAACTACCTTGGGAGAACTTGGGCAAGAGTGCAGAGGATTTTAAGCACCGTCTAGGGTCCAAGACTGAGTGCTGAGCCAGACGGAGCTAATAGTATTCAGCTGTGGGCTGTGCAGAGCCATTATGAGAAAACTGCCCTGGCAAGCTCTGCTCTCAGGCTTGCAGAGCAAGGATCAGGCGGAGCGAGTAATCTAGTGACTGAGCAGCCTAAAGGTAAGGACTGACATACCTTACAGCTTTGGCCCTCAGGGGCATAGAGTGAGACCAGTTTTGGCACACCGGGACTCATCGAAACCCTAGTCCAGAGGCACAGTAACTTAAAGCGCAAAAGGAAACGAAAGGAAAATTAGGGCAAGGAAACAGATAAAAGAAAACACTCATGAGGAAGAATCAGCAGAAAAATCCTAGCAACATGAAAAACCAGTCCAGAGCAACCCCCCCGCCCAAGAGACCCTGAGGTAGCTACTGCAGAGGATTCCACCTATAAAGAAATGTTAGAAATGACAGAAAAGGAATTTAGAATACACATGATGAAAACAATGATGGAAACAATGAAGGAAACTGCTGATAAAGTGGAAAATAACCAAAAGGAAATCCAAAAACAGAATCAAGTAAGATACGAACGATATGAAGAATATAGAAAGGATACAGCAGAGCTGAAGGATCTGAAGGAGTCAATCAAGGAACTTAATACAAAGCATCAACAACAGATTAGACCATGCAGAAGAAAGAATCTCAGAGGTAGAGGACAAAGCTCTTGAGATAACTAAGATAGTTAAAGAGGCAGAAAAGAAGAGCGAGAAAGCAGAACGTTCACTGACAGAATTATGGGACATTATGAAGTGTTCAAACATACGAGATATAGGTATCCCAGAAGGGGAAGAAGAATGCCCCAGGGAAATGGAAGCCATACTAGAGAATATTATAAATGAAAATTTCCCAAATATCACCAAAGACTGTGACACACTCCTTTCAGAGGGATATCGGAACCCAGGTCACCTCAACTCTAACCAAGCTTCTCCGAGACACATTGTGATGAACCTGTACAAAGTCAAGGCAAAAAAAAAAAAAGATTCTTCAAGCTGCCAAGAGAAAGTGCCAGTTGACCTACAGGGGCAAAACCATCAGGGTGACTGCAGACCTCTCTAATGAAACTTTTCAAGCAAGCAGACAATGGTCATCTACCTTTAATCTACTTAAACAGAACAATTTCCAGCCCAGAATTCTATATCCTGCTAAGCTAAGCTTTAAAATTGACAGAGAAATCAAATTATTTACTGATATATAAACATTGAGAAAATTCGCAACAACAAAACCAGCTTTATAGGAAATACTTCAACCTGTTCTATACACTGACCATCAAAATGGATCAACAGCAAAGTAAGAACTCAGATATTAGACAGAACCTAATTTCCACGTTGATGCAAAAGATAAGACTAAGCAATGGACTCTCACAAAATAAGATGAATAGAACATTCCTTTGTATATGGCAATAACAGTCAAGATGAGAGGCTAAGGACACAACTACCTTCACCATAGCTTCAAAGAAAATGAAATACCTAGGACTATACCTAATAAAAGAGGTGAAGGACCTCTATAAAGAAAATTATGAAATCCTAATAAAGGATTAACTAATGGAAAAATATACCATGCTCATGGCTGGGAGGAATCAACAGTGTTAAAATGTCTATACTTCCCAAAGCAATCTACCTATTAATAAATAGCAACATCGTACTTTAAGACTTGGAAAAAATGACTCTGCATTTTGTATGGAACCAGAAAAAAACACATATAGCTAAGGCAGTTTTTTCTTTTTGAGACAGAGCCTCAAGCTGTCACCCTGGGCAGAGTGTCCCAGCATCATAGCTCACAGCAACCTCCAATTGCTGGGCTTAAGCGATTCTTCTGTCTCAGCCTTCCAAGTAGCTGGGACTACAGGCACCCAATACAACGCCTGGCTACCTTTTGGTTGTAGTTGTCACTGTTGTTTGGCAGGCCCAAGCTGGATTTGAACTGGCCAGCTCTGGTGTATGTGGCTAGCGCCCTAGCCACCTGAGCTACAGGTGCCGATCCCTAAGGCAGTTCTTAGTAATAAAAACAAAGCTGGGGGCATCACCATACCAGATTTTAGGCTGTACTACAAAGGCATAGTGGTCAAGACAGCATGGTACTGGCACAAAAATAGAGATATAGACATTTGGAACCGAATAGAAAACCAGGAAATGAAACTATCTTACAACCACCTAATCTTCGATAAACCGAACAAGAACATACCTTGGGGGAAATACTACCTACTCAATAAATGGTGCTGGGAGAACTGGATATCCACATGTAAAAGACTGAAACTGGATCCACACCTTTCTCCACTCATAAAAACTGATTCAAGATGGATAAACGACTTAAATTTAGGGCATGAAACAATAAAAATCCTCAAAGAAAGCATAGGAAAAACACTGGAAGATATTAGCCTAGGGAAAGACTTCACAAAGAAGACTGCTGTGGTAATTGCAACAACAACAAAAATAAGCAAATGGGACTTAATGAAACTGAAAAGCTTCTGTACAGCTAAGGAGACAACAACCAAAGCAAATAGACAACCTACACAATGGGAAAGGATATTTGCGTATTTTGAATCAGACAAAAGCTTGATAACTAGGATCTATAGAGAACTCAAAACTAATCCATGTGAAAAAAGCCAACAATCCCATATATCAATGGGCAAGAGACATGAATAGAACCTTCTCTAAAGAAGACAGATGAATGGCTAACAAACATATGAAAAAATGCTCATCATCCCTAATTATTAGAGAAATGCAAATTAAAACCACCCTGAGATACCGTTTAACCCCAGTGAGAATGGCCCACATCACAAAATCTCAAAACTGCAGGTGCTGGAGTGGATGTAGAGAAAAGGGAACACTTTTATACTGCTAGTGGGACTGCAAACTAATACAACCTTTTTGGAAAGAAGTATGGAGAACCCTCAAAGAATTCAAGCTAGACCCCCCCATTTGATCCTGCAATCCCATTACTGGGCAACTATCCAGAAGGAAAAAAAATCCTTTTATCATAAGGACACTTGCCCTAGACTGTTTATTGCAGCTCAACTTACAGTCACCAAAATGTGGAAACAGCCTAAATGCCCACCAACCCAGGAATGGATTAACAAGCTGTGGTATATGTATACCATGGAATACTATTCAGCTATTAAAAAAATGGAGACTTTACAGCCTCTGTATTAAACTGGATGGAAGTGGAACACATTATTCTTAGTAGAGCATCACAAAAATGGAGAAACATGAATCCTATGTACTCAATTTTGATATGAGAACAATTCACGACATGGTGGGGGTAGGGGAAGGGGAGACCAGAGAGAGGAAGGAGGAGGAAGAAGTGGGTAAGAGAATAGCAGAGAGAGGGAAGGAGGGAGGGAAGTGGGGTCTTGGTGTGTGCCACAGCTTTGGGAGGCAAGACACAATTGTAAGAGGGACTTTAACTAACAGATACAATCAGTGTAACCTGGTTTCTTGTACCCTCAATGAATCCCCAACAATAAGAAAAAAAAAATAGACCAATCTATGATCTTTGTGTACCTTTGTTTTAAAGTTATATACTCAGAGCACATTAGATACTCTGAATTTTAATTATTAAACTGAAATTTTGACTAAAAAAATATGCTTGTAGACACTGGCATATTTTTTATATTTCTGTATCTACTTTGGAAACTAATTTTGCCATTATTTCCCCAAATTCAACTCTGGCGTAAAGGATACCATCTGAAATGAACAAGGTTTATAAATAAGAATAGAAATGAAATACCTACCTGTGAAGGTGTACTGGTAAGTTCCATCTTCTCTTGGGATTTTTCCTTTGCTAGTCGAGCAGCTTCTTTAAATTCCTGAAACTTTTCTGCAAACTAAATGTAAAAGACTATATACATTAACCACATAAAAATAACTCAGTGCCCACTTTTAGCTTAGTTAAGTCATTCATTTTTTGAATAACTGACTCTTATGCAAGCAACATAGTCTCCAAACAAATCAATTATAGCTTGTGTAATATGAAAATAATAGAAAAAGAAACCTAATACCAAATATGTATTTGTGCATCACAAAATATTTTGACAAATCTCATTCACAACATCATAATACAACTAAATGAGAATTTAGTGTCAGCCTGCTGACTTATGTACCTCCTGGTTGTTGAGGAATAATTTATTAAGACCAGAGTGGGTAAGTGGAATCAGTAAAGATAGGCATACTGTGTTTTATCACCAAGAACACTAAGTTTTTGAAATATCTACTTGTAAACATTACAGTATTTAGAAAATGATTTTAACTTTAAGTAACATATAGAGGCATAATATATACTATGATGTCATAATATGTAAGGTATTTTATTTTCAACAATACAAATAGTAGCATTTATTATTATCACTAGTTGGCAAAACTAAAAATTTCCAAAGATTTCTAAAGAGCTAATGTATAGCAGCAGAAAGGAATAAATACTCCATAAAGATATTAAAAAATGGCAACAACTTAGGCTGGGCACAGTGGCTCCTGCCTGTAATCCTAGCACTCTGGAAGGCTGAGGTGAGTGGAATGCCTAAGCTCATGAGTTTGAGACCAGTCTGAGCCCAGAGTAAGAACCTCGTCTCTAAAAATAGCTGGGCGTTGTGGTAGATGCCTCTCGTCCCAACTACTTGGGAGGCTGAGGCAAGAGAATAGTTCGAGCCCAAGAGTTTGAGGTTGCTGTGAGATGTGACGTCACAGCACTCTACCAAGGGCAACGAAGTGAGACTCCATCTCAAAAAATAAATAAATAAATAAATAAATAAATGCTGGCCGGGTGCAGTGGCACACACCTATAAACCTAGCACTCTGGGAGGCCAAGGCGGTGGAGATCTTGAGCTCACAAGTTTGTGACCAGCCTGAGCAAAAGCAAGACCCTGTCTTTACTAATAATATAAAAACTGAGGCAAGAGGATCTCTTGAGCCCAAGAGTTGGAGGTTGCTGTGAGCTATCATGCCATAGTACTTTACCCAGGTTGAGACAACTTGAGAATCTGTCTCCAAAAAATAATAACCAAATAAATTAATTAAAAATGGCAACAACTTTAGGACAAAAATTACTGTATATGAAATGCTAATTCTTAGGAACTCATTGGAAACCATAGAAGATCATGGCCTCAAACAGTATCTACTTATGTTCTGAAACTGGAAGCTAGTCTATCAACATTTATCAGAAAGAGTAAGTTATGGCTACAAAATAACTAAATTTAAAAACCTAAAATCTCTAACTTAATTGCCAATAATTTATGATTCAAGCCACAGAGACAAAAAACAAAAAAGGACAATTAAAGAATTGGTCAATAAAAATATAAAATTATAGTTCTATTCTGAAACCCCTATAAGCCAATCCTGATTTCATTTCCATCTTGGGAAGAGAAGTTTTGGAAAGAAAGACTTGTGATACTCTAACTTCCCTTGTAGAGATGGAGGAGGTTCAAAATTAAGTATGTCATTATCACAACTTTTCCTTCTTATCTTAAACCCTGCTGTCTCTACCTACAAACCTGTAAACTAGGGAACTGAATGTGTACTATAATACTTCTGTAATTGAACAGGGTTGTCTCCTTACATTAAAAAGAAAATCTGAATACAAAGTTAAAAAAGTAGAAATAAAAAGAAAACTATAATTTTTCCTTATGCAGTCTGAAGTAGTGCACATGGGTTTTCTTAAACTAATTTAGCATTCCAAAATTAATAATCTAAAGTGTCTCACCTTCATAAAAACCTATATATAATATTGCTAATTTTTATATCCTTAGCTGTCAGCAAAAGAAAAAAGTAAAGGTTTAGGTTTTCATGACAACAAAACACAACTTAGTAAGCACTCTAACAATAGCTGGAATACTGCTCATCCCAGTCAACCTGAGAACCTTACATTTCCTCCAGGGATTCTGCTTTCTCTTACTTGCGGAGGCCCTTTCCTTGAATTGCCTTTAGAACCTAATCCAAGCCTTTATAATGTTTTGATTCACTCATGGTTTTTAATGATTTTTAGCCAGGATATTTATGTTTGCTTATTTATGTAAAAGATTATAAACTCCTTTGGGTTCCTTACAGTCTGCAAAGCACGTAACTAGTTTCAAGGTAGCCTGAAAAATAAATCATGATTCTGTCATCTTTAGATTAAACCATTCTGAAGGGAGTGATGTTAATCCCTTGGAGCCTGATCTAGTGAGTAAATAAACTACATTTGGCTCCAAAGGCTTAAGGGCAGTTTCCTAATATTGAATTCACCCTTGCAATATGAAGATTCATCATCAGTAAGATTAATTGAAGTACATGCTAACTTTTAAGTGGAAAAAGAATTATTAAAGAACAAAACATTCTCAGAAGAAAAAAATAAAGTATAAAAAGAAATTATGTTGACAATATTTAACAAATGATTCCTTTACTACATTAGCTAGCTACTCAGTGAAAGATCTAAGGAAGAATTTATAGTCAAATTTATTAGGCCTAAAAATCATTTAATGCAAGTTTATTTGAGAAATTCATCCACAACTTAATTCTTGTGTTGTCAAGAAATCCAGCAAACAGAATATACTTAATAGTTTTATTTTTTTAATTTTAATTAAATTAGTTTTCATTTAAAAAATTTTTTCAATAGACAATTCCAAAAGAAAAGTTCTAAAAATGTTCTGAGTAATGGCAAAAGTACTAGAATAAAATTCCCCTAGAGGATTAATTATGGACAGGTAATATCTAGCTGGATGCCTGTACCCTTGTATGTTGAGATACATTGAATCTAAAGCTCATACCTTTATCACAATTCAAGAAATATATTTAAGGAATAAGATGAGTGTATATGTGTGTAAGAGAAACCAAATCAGGTAATATTTGTTTTAACTACCTTACAGAGAATGATTTAGTCACAAAAGCAAAAGTTAAAATAGTTTTAAAATTGAGCTTTTCTTTTTTTCCTTTCTTTTTCTTTTTTGAGATAGAGTGTTACCCTGGGTAGAGTGCTATGGAATCATAGTTCACAGTAACCTCAAACTCTTGGGCTTAAGTAATTCTCTTGCCTGAGCCTCCCAAGTAGCTGAGACTACAGGCATGAGCCACCACGTCCAGCTAGTTTTTCTATTTTTAATAGAGAAAAATCTACTTGCTCTTGCTTAAGCTGGTCCAAATTCCTAAGCTCAAGCAATCCACTGGCCTCAGCCTCCCAAGGTGCTAGGATTATAGGCATGAGCCACCATGTCTGTAAAATTGAGCTTTAAATCATAATTCATAGCCAAAAGATAACAAAAAACCTTGAAAAAAGCATTAAACAATGTTTACAACCAAAACAGAAGAAAACAAAGTAGATTATTTCAACTACTGACCTAATTATAACTTTAAGTTGATAAAAAGTGATGAAAATGTAAGTTTTTTTTAAAAAAAACCCCATTTTTAAGAATCTAGATTTCTGCAAAAAAAAAAAAATAACTTAAAGTTCAATATAAACAATGTATATGTACAAAAGCCTGATTACCCTGAACTTCAACAATTTCAACTCTTAAGCTATCAGATCCTGTTTATAATGAACCATATGGAAAATGTTTCAAATGTGGGTTTACCTTTTTAATTGAATACTTCAAAAAGAGGTTTTAAGCCTGTATATCTAGACCTGGTGGACTCAAGATCTGAAGAGCCAAGTGAGTAATACGTATCTCCTTGATCATCTTAGTATCCTGAGATTGCTTCCTACTTTCCTTATATACTCTTTCCACATAGTATCCATAAGAACCCACGGCGCTGTTGATATGAACACTGAATGGCTTCTGCTTATAGATAGGACGGTTTTTATTTCCAACATTTGGCCTGGTGAGGCTCTGCATTTTATTGACCTTTCTGCCACAGTAATTCTTTTGGTTAGTATTATCCAAGAATTCCTCATATTGTCTTTGGATTTACGCTGCATCAGAGAGCGCAGAGTACTCCCACACAGATTAAACACAGTAATTTATATGTACCTGCCATCATGTCAAAAAGCTGAAATCTTCATCATTATCAACTTGAGTTTTCATAATTCAGAAGAGCTTGGTGTCTACCTATTTTGCAGACCATCTCCAACTGAGGCTGTTAATCTTTGCATTCTGAAGTTATAATCTCTATCTTTTATTTCCTGTCATACATACAGTTAACTACACAAATCCTTCTCAACCAATGGTGACTGTTTTTAATGTGTACAATAAATCTTCCAAATGACAATGAAATCCAATGATCTCTTGTATTTTGCTCTAAACTTACTACAGCTGTTTTGAGAATTTAAACAAATTTCCCCTATACTTTATATTCTCCACGTATTCTTATATATTTAAAATATATGACTTGAAGATGAAGATTTACACGCAGATCTTCTGATTTAACTTACTTTTGAAAGATGATGCTCAGAGGAGAATCCCAGTCCATAAACAGTGTTTGCTCGGCTGTCGGCCCATTGGCCAAACTTCTGAGATGTTTTAGTAAATGTCATGTTTGGGGTGATAGTGCTATTTATTATTGCCTGAGAAATAAAATAAGTATGAGTAACCAGACAAAAATCAGCAAATGGGTGTTTAAACACAAGACCATTTAGTTACATAAAAATTTAGGATTACTAATGAGACACAATATTAACACATAAAGATAGTTATAAACAATTCCTACCATTATAAGTGACAGTGAGAAAATATGTCAACTAATAGAACTATAAATACAATGGCACTCTGTCAAAAATTCCAAAGAGTTTTTAGTGTGGTCAGTTTCTTCACTTTGAATAGTTAGGATCAATATTTATTAATTTTGGATGATATTCACTGGAAACAAATAGCCTTTAATAGTTGTTGATTTAAGAGTCGAGTCCCACCCTCCAAAGACTATTCCAACAATGAATACATCAATAGAAAAAAGAAACCCACTAATTTTCTAAAATCCATAATCAAGAGTTTTATTAAAACTGATTTAATCAACTGGGCATCTGTAGCTCAGCGGTTGGGGCGCCAGCCACATATACCCAAGCTGGCAGGTTCAAACACAGCCCGTTCCTGCCAAACAACAAGGACAAGTACAACCAAAAAATAGCTGGGTATTGTGGCAGGCACCTGTAGTCCCAACTACTTGGGAGGCTGAGGCAAGAGAATTGCTTAAATCCAAGAGTTTAAGGTTGCTGTGAGCCGTGACACCACAGCACTCTACCAAGGGCGGCATAGTGAGACTCTTGTCTTAAAAAAAAAAAAAAAAAAGAAAGAAAGAAAAAACCTGATTTAACTAAAATACACAGTACAGAAAAGCCTATCAACCAGTTAGTACTTTCTTCTTTACTCAAAGAAAAAACAAATCTCTAAATATATAGTTATTTCTCAATATACAGAGGGGATTGGTTCCAGAGCCCCCATGTATACCAAAATCTACATACACTCAAGTCCATGTGTACACACATATAGAATACACATGTATGAAAAGTCTGCCCTCCATACACTCAGGCTTCTCATCCCATTAATACTGTATTTTCATTCTGCATATAAGTAGACCCATACAGCTCAAGCCCATGTTATTCAAGGATCAACTGTACACACATTTATTTCTGCATAAAGTGGTACACATTTATGATACTGAAAATTGTTATCATTTTAAGCATATTTCTTATTAAAACTAGTGTTTTAATATGTCACTGAATATTAACTTTGGTGATTACCATAATAAATTCCAACTATCATCAAGGAACATATCATCATCTCATCCCTTCTGTCAGTACCATAAAAGTGAGGAATCATTTTTAATTAGGTAGTCCAATGCTCTCCAACTTTCAAATTAAAAAGTCTAATAATAACAGATAATAATAACAGATAAATAACACTCTAATAATAACAGATAAATGCTAATGAATCCATAAGCAGTCATCTGGTGAACTCTTAAATGTGGAATGAAACCCAAGCATTTTCAGAGCAAAACTAAATTTGTTCACTATGAACAACAGTATAAATATTTATTAGTTATAGAGGTATATTGATGAAGTTATAACAATGAATACAAGACACTTGTTCTACTACAGACAGAAAATGAGAGTGGTTCCTTCCTTTCTCTCATAGAGATCAGTAGATGTGTCATCTATTGTTATACAAGAGCCCTTACCCTCACAATCAAGTGGTTTAGTTCAGACAAAATCTATATATTTATACTTGTATAGCTTTCTTATGCTTCAGTTCAAAACTGCTTTTCCCAGCATGTCATTTTAGATCTGTAAGATGTGGCTAACAACTGCTCTAACTTGTAGGACTGTCATTAAATGAAAGACTAAATGGAAAAGAATTTATTAACAAATGGTAAGGAATCATTCATTTCTTCAACATTTTTTACTGAGTACCTATTAAATGCCAAGCACAATTCTAAAAATTTGAGGTACCACAAGAGAGGCAATGTAGTTGTAGATTACATTCTCAAACAAGAGGAGTCAATAAACGCACAAGTAAACAGATAGCTAACCACTGTAATTTTACAAAGTGTCCGGTGCTGTGAAGACTAAGACCAGGATGTGATAACGTGAAAAGCAAGAGAGTAAAGACGGTGGGAATGCCCTTAGATTGAGTAGTCCTTCAGGGTTCCAATGAATGTGTGAGGGGGGCACATCTGAGCTTGATCTGAGTGTTTTCAAAGAGATATGGCATTTTACATACAACCTTAATAATTCTCAGAAATAGGGTAGCAACAGGTTTTATAGGCATCTAAGAAAACTGACCACTGTGCTGTCAGCGGTCTCCAACCTTTTTGGCATCAGGGCCTAGTTTCCATGGTCTGGGGCATGGGGAGAAACTGACAAGAGGCAGAGTTCAGCAAGATACAAGGGAGAAGAGCAGCTGCAAACAGATAAAGCTTCATCTGCTCACCTCCTGCTGTGTAGCCTGGTTCCTAATAGGCCACGGACTACGACCGGTGGCCTGGAGGATGGCGACCAGAGCAACAGGTCTCTGATTAACCCCCTATTTTAACTATTTCAAATTACCTTCTTTCTGCTTTTAAGAGGTCTGTTTTAATCTCCATTCCAATCTTTCTTTGCCTCTGTATTACCTGTTCTCTAATCAGTGAAGAAAAACTCTAAAACGATTGATAATTCCACACTTAAAAAAACTTTTAGATTTCATTGATTCTTTGAGTAGAATGCTTCTATGAATCCTTTTGTTTGTTTTTTGAGACAGAGTTTCATGTTGTCACCTTCAGTACAGTGCCATTTCATCACAGCTCACAGCAACCTCCAGCTCCTGGGCTTAAGTGATTCTCTTGCCTCAGCCTCCCGAGTAGCTGGGGCTACAGGTGCCACAATGCCTTTTTTGTGGCTTTTTGTTGTTGCAGTTGTCATTGCTGTTTTAGCTGGCTAGGGCCAGGCTCAAACCCACCACCCTCAGTACATGGGGCTGGCACTCTACCCACTAAGCCACAGGTGTCACCCCTTCTACGAATACATTTAAAAGGCAAATTTTAGTTCTATTTATAAACATGTCTCTCAATCCTGCAGTTCTTCTCCTTTTAAGGAAGAGAGGTAGGAATGTTATGTCTTCACAGATCATGTGCACACAGATCCTGCAGTGCCATGACCCTAGCTTTCCAATTCAATCATGAAGAGCAGAAATGGTGGTGACAGTGAGAAGCAGAAAAAATATTTGTCTTGCTGAATCAAATAAACTATTACAGCTTACCAAAAAATAACTAGAAACTATAGTGGTTATTACAAAGTAATTAGAAAATGGAAAGTGTAAAAGAAAGTAAACTCTTACAAAAAATAGATTTTGTTAAAAGAAATAATACAAAAACTTTTCACACTACTTATCTAAGGTTCTAATAATTACAATCAGCAAAGTATATTCAGAAATGGAAGTGCCAGGACAATAGTTCATATTGCTTCAGAGGGAACAACACATGAGGTTTATCATTTTTCTTTTGGCCTGGGCTTCTTTCTAGGGTTGCATGAGAATTATTTAATAACCAAAATTATGTCCATTTGAATATACCATTTAACCCCTACTTCTAGTTAAACTACATTTTATCTATGCTTTGGGGCAAGAGACAAACAGATTACTAAGAATTGGAGGTTCAAGTCAGAGAAAGAAAAAAATTAACACTCTAGAGTCTGAGTATCTATTAAACTTCATTAAACCTGTTATAAAATATGACAAAATTATTCTTCATGAAATAAAGCTTCAAATAAATCAATTATTACTATTTCTCAAGTCCTTTAAAATCCTCCCAAGTAAAAATGAAAAGAGGATCAATTATTCAAGTACATACATGTTAGTCACTTGTGTATAAGACACAAAGTACAAATGGCCCCTGGGATCCTATAGTCTAGTTATGGAGGTAAGAAATGAACACACAGAAAAAAACAAAGTTTAGCGTTATATTCTCTTTCAGACCCCCCAAAACACTAGGCAACATATACAAATATAGAACAGCCTAATAATATCAAGATCAATAACAATAACAACGGCAGCAAGTGTTTGTATTAGTGATTAACTACGAACACATTTACCTTTTGACTGAATTTATTCTCAATGAATTCTAATTCATAACTAAGGTTTAGCAATCATGTAGGTATTTTTACTAGTTCCTTTTCACATATGAGAAAAATGAGGTATGCAGAAGTTAAATACCTTGATCAAGATCAGATGGCTAGCAAGTACTAGAATAAAAATTCAAAACAGTCTGGTTTTAGAGTCTGTGCTCTTAACTCCACTGAATCACTAAACTTCCTGGGATTGGAAAGGCCTCATGGCTTCAAGAAAGTCTGAAGAAAAAGCAGTACCTCATCTTTCTATACACTTTATATCTAGAATCTAATGTCTGGGATTTCTTTCTCTAAGTGAGTTGTACAAAATTCACAGATAATAAAATAGATTTCCCCACCCACCTTCTGAAGGGTATACTATCCACTAGGTAAATGCTTTGCAGATATTAACTCATTTAATCTTTACAACTCTACCAGTACTGAAGTGAGAACAATGTGACTCAGAAAAGTAATTTGGCCAAAGTAAAACACTCAGTAGAGTGTGCAGGTGACATCTGAACCCATGTAATCTTTACTCCTAAATGTTACACTATCTGCTTCTCCTAAAAATGAAACTTTAGATTCTGTCTATCCTTACACTTCTCTGCAAATAAGAGATGTCAGCTTTAGTATTGACACTGACAGACTTCATAAGATATAGGGATTCTGAACTGTCTATTAGCCTCAGAAGAATACTTGAAAAGAATTCTAGCTCCTAGAATTCTAGACTATCTCTATTTGCTCCACATCTATATTCCTAGTACCTAGCATAGTACCTGACACATAACAGATATGCAATGTCTATCTGTTACACAAACTGAATGATCTCAAATATATACAATATTTTGGTTTCTTTTTCCTCCAACCCCCTATGAATATTTTGGCCTATCACTCTGTATAATAAAGTGGCAAATCCTAGTGACTTAATAGATAAAAAATGTTGCTACCCTAAGAATAATCAATTTTGTTTCTTAAAAGTTATTAAAAAATCAAAAGGAAGTAGTTTAGTGAAGGTAAAATCCTCTGAATAAAACGAAAATGGCGTATTGTCTAAAGTAAAATGGCAAGATTAGTCAAAGTAATAAAAGTTATCTTACCTTTGAGCCATCTAAACTGATTATCCTATACACATTTCTTGTGCTGTCATAGAAATAAGACACAGTAACTGCATGCTTGCTGGTGGGTACCCAGTTCTTCTTTGTGTTTGGGTCAATCTGGAAGACATGAGCTCGAGTGCTGAAGATAGGTTGTTCCCTGCAGGACAGAAAAGAATGTTAGGGACTGAAAGCAGCCAATTTTATTCAATTAGACAAAAAAAAAAAAAAAATGTAAAAACTATTAAGGATGATTCTGCTTAACCAACAACTCCCACATACTGGAAAATTAGAGAAACTTTCTTTCAAATTTGAATATTTTAAGTTGGGCGGCACCTATGGCTTAGTGAGTAGGGCGCCAAAACCGGCCCCGCCAAACTGTAACAAAAAAATAGCCGGGCATTCTGGTGGGCGCCTGTAGTCCTAGCTACTCGGGAAGCTGAGGCAAGAGAATTGCCTAAGCCCAAGAGCACTCTGTCTTTAAGAAAAAAAAATTAATATATTAAGTAGTTAATTATTAGCTTCTTTAAAATAATTATAACCAATGCCCATTATTTGCAGATTCTGTATATGGGAATTCACCTACTCACTAAGTTTATTTGCAACCCCCAAATCATTAATCAAATAATTTTCTTTCTTTCTTTTTTTTTTTTTGAGACAGGGTCTCACTTTGTCACCATCGGTAGACTGCTATGGCATCATACCTCACAGCAACCTCAAACTCTTGGGCTCTAGTGATCCTCTTGCCTCAGCCTCTTGAGTAAGTGGACTACAGGCACCTGTGACAACACCTAGCTAGTTTTTATTTATTTATTTTTTGAGACAGAGCCTCAAGCTGTCACCCTCAGTAGAGTGCCATGGCATCACAGCTCACAGCAACCTCCAACTCCTGGGCTTAAGTGATTCTCCTGCCTCAGCCTCCCAAGTAGCTGGGACTACAGGCGCCCGTCACAATGCCCAGCTATTTTTTGGTTGTAGTTGTCATTGTTGTTTGGCAGGCCTGGGCTGGATTTGAACCTGCCAGTTCCGGAGTAGGTGGCTGGTGCCTTAGCCACTTGTGCTACAGATGCCGAGCCAGCCCAGCTAGTTTTTAGTATACATAGGGTCTCACTCTTACTCAGGCTGGTCTTGAACTCCTAACTCAAACAATCCACCCACCTTGGTTCCCCAGAGTGCTAGTGGCTCATAGCATTTTCTAAGTCGTCACAGATATGCACAGGGCAGTGGAAAACATGTCATGTGATTGCACAAAGCAACACTCTGCTTTCTTGCTTCAGCTCTCATACTATATAAACAAAACATTCTTTTTTCAGTATATTCAGCACCATAATTTCACATTTTTGTGCTTTTTGATGGTAGTTTCACTGTTTAAAAGGCCTCTAAGCATAGTGCTGAAGTGTTCCTACGTGCAAGAAGGCTGTGATGTGCCTTATGGAGAAAATGTGTGTTAGACTAGCTTTTCAGGCATGAGTTATATTGCTGTTGGCCATGAATTCAATGTCAATGCATTAATATTATATAGTAAATGTCTTTAAACAGAAACAAGGTTATTTACTGATTAGTTGATGAAAATGTGACCAGAGGCTTCTAAGAATGTGACACTGTATTTTCCCCAGGAGCAATGGTTCGGTATGGTATTTTCGCTAATTCAGCATTCCTGACATCTTTACAGAACAAAACTACCACAAATAAGAATCAACTGTACCCTGTTAAAATACAAATATCTTATATTTGACCCTCACAAGGTTAACAATTTCTACACATTTAAAACTATATTCTAGGGTGGCACCTGTGGCTCAAAGGAGTAAGGTGCTGGTCCCATATGCTGGAGGTGGTGGGTTCAAACCCAGCCCTGGCCAAAAACTGCAAAAAAAAAAAAAAAAAAAAAAAAGAAGAAGTCTGAAGACTTTCACCAAACAATTAAAAATAAATAGGTTAAAATTATCCTTTAAAAAAAAAAAAACCTATATTATTCTAGTAATAGTAACTAAGCTTATTTATTTTTTGAGACAGAGCCTCAAGCTATCCCCCTGAGTAGAGTGCTGTAGCATCACAGCTCACAGCAACCTCCAACTCCTGGGCTCAAGCGAGTCTCCTGCCTCAGCCTCCCAAGTAGCTGGGACCACAGGCACCCGCCACAATGCCTGGCTATTTTTTTTTTTTGGTTGCAACTGTCATTGTTGTTTGGCGGGCCCAGGCTGGATTTGAACCCGCCACCTTGGGTGTATGTGGCTGGCACCTTAGCCACTTGAGCCACAGGTGCCGAGCCAATAACAAAGTTTATATTCAATATATAATCTCTATAATACTGAAAAGTATATTAAAAAGATGCTCAAACAAGAAATTTCTTTTTTTTTTTTTAAATGACATCGTCTCACTCTGTCACCCAGGCTGGATAGAGACCAGTAGCCCCATCGTACAGCTCGCTGATACCGCAAACTCTTGGGCTCAAGCAATCCTCCTGCCTCAGCTTCTGAAGCAGCTAGGACTACTGGTATATGCCACTATGCCTGGTTAACTTCTTTTATTTTTTGTAGAGATAAAGTTCCACTGTTTTGCCCAGGCTGGTCTCAAACTCCAAGGCTCAAGTGATCTTCTCCTCTTGGCCTCCCAAAGTGCTAGGATTGCAGGCCATTGAGCCACCATGACTGGCCCACAAATATCTTATAAAGTAGGGCATTAAAGATAAACAATAGAGATATAAAACTAATCAAATATGTATTTTCAAAATATGATTAGTACAGAATTTTTATAGCATCAAAATAAGCATGAGATAATCTATATATAAGTATTAGAATGTAAAAATTTCCAAGTTCTGAGTAAAAACTATTTTAGAAACAGCATTTACCATTTTTCTTAAGTACAAATAAAGCTCATCTCTTTCATTTCACTATACACTTCTTTTTTAAAGCAGTTCAAGGTCCAAAAAAGCATTTTAACTGGTAACATTTAATGTTAAAATTAGATAAATGTTGTTTTAGTTTTAAAGAATTTAAAGTATTTTTAAATTTAAAGAAAGAAAAGGAGAACATGGAAAAGAGAAATTAGAAAAATAGGCAAGGCAAATCTGGGTCCTTGGCACAATGGCTCTTTAGGTTAGTAATAATAATGGGCTGACAGGTCTCCTTCAGACCTTGGAGGCTGGTGTGAACAGGAGGTACCTTACCTATAGACACCTACAGATAACATGGCTCTTTTCCAGTTTTACTTCTGGAAACCTCCAATACAACTTTCCTTTTTTTGAGACAGAGTCTTACTGTCACCATGAGTAGATTGCTGTGGCATCATAGCTCATAGCAACCTCAAACTCTTGGGCTCAAGTAATCCTCCTCCCTTAGTCTCCCAAGTAGTTGGGACTACAGGCATCTGCTACTACATCCTGCTAGTTTTTCTATTTTTGTAGAGACAGAGTCTTGCTCTTGTTCAGGCTGGTCTCAAACTCTTGATCTCAGGCAATCCAACCTCCTCGGCCTCCCAGAGTGCTAGGATTACAGGTGTGGGCCATCACACCTGGCTCTACAACTTTGGTTATTAAAGTTGTTATTATCTCCTTCCTTTAAAAGGAAATAATATGGGCGGTGCCTGTGGCTCAAAGGAATAGGGTGCCAGCCTCATATATTGGTGGTGGTAGGTTCAAACATGGCCTCAGCCAAAAAAAAAAAAAAAAGAAATATATTTTATGCAACTCCCTATAAAATGAAGCAGAGAATCACTGCATCTTGCTTAATTACCATTCTACATGGATTCATTTGACAAAAAATTATTAACAATCTGGCAATGCATTGTACCAGGATAATGAATTCTGGATTGAGAGGTCTTATTCAATCCCTCTTTCCCCATCTTCAATCCCTGCCTTTCAGTGAAGCTGGTGCTATAGGTTATCTCTGAAAAGTCCTACAGGCCTTATTTTTCTTTTTCACCTTTAAAAGTCCTAGGTAAAAGTATAGTTGGTCAGATTACTGCTAGTTCCAACTCACAGAGCATCTGACTATACACAACTCTTAAGGCATATGAGGAAGGGACATGAGACACTCCATTCTTTACCTACTTGATAATTTTTTGTCTTCATTTGATGGGGACTAAATTTCTCAATAGTGTAGGCTAGTGATAATGGGAACATATAATGAACATTTTCTAAAAACTAAATTAGTTATTAAGATAATGTTGTTGCTTTTGTAAGCTGTATGTGATCAATTAAGAAATCTTTAATCAATGGAAATACAGTGTTTTGACTCCAGTAAAGACTATGCATAACATATTAATTCACTTTAATTAATCCATACAATTTAATTCCTTTCAGAATAAAAATCTTTTGAGTAAAATAGCTATCTTATAAGCAAATGGCATTTGAATATCAACTAAATATATGGCTTTCTTCAATCCTCTTCTGAATAGCTGGTTTTTTTAAAGAAAATTATAGTTTAAGATTTCTGTGGTCAAAAGCCTACCAAAGTCTGTTATGATAAAGACTAAGGAAATAATTTTCACTGCTGATACAAGAAACAGAATTCCTAGAAGTAATGAAGATGTTATTGCATTTGATGGGCATACAATTAAATGATTCAACTTTTCTTGAATATCTAATACATGCAAAGATGGTTCCTGTCCTTGAAAAGTTCAATTTGGTAAAAAAAGATGCATATGTTAAAAATAAAATGCTCTTCACCATGACAGATTCTTTGAACGTAAGTGACTGAAGGCTATGATGGAGAATGTCTAAATAGAGTTTGAAACAAATTACAGCACAGTGGGAAAAGGTTCTTCAGTGTAGCAAGAACCTCAGTACAGGTAAGTACGGTGCCTCTGAAGAATGAGGCTAGAATGAAGAAAGAGAAAAGACAGTTCATGAGGGTCTCCACTGGAAGATACTGAGAGATTATAACAGGAATACAGTCTTGCATTTTAGAAAAATAAATGTAGCAGCACTATAGAAGGTGCTAGAGAGAAACAACACCAAACAGAGGTAGCTACTCAGAGCCTTACTGAAGAATCTCAACGATGAAAAAATAAAGATGAAAGGTCAGGGAATGGGATGAAGATGTCAGAAGGAATTAAAGTTAAATTTAGCAAGTGGTGTCAATAAGATTAAGTAACAGATTAGATGTAGGGCAGTGGTTCTTAAACTTAAACTAGGATGATCTATCCTCAGGACATTTCACA